TTAGTACCTAAGCTTAGGTGGGGTTGTAATGTATATTCCCTATCCCCTATATATATATAATATATATATATATATATATATATATATATAGATATATACATATATATATATATATATATATATATATATATATAAGGAAAGGATCAAATGAGAACACCTAAAAGGTTGAGAACGCGGGAACAAGTATATTCATTTGTGATTCCATGTATTCATTTGTGGAGAAATGATAAATTTTACGCACAATCAACATGAATATGATTTTTCTCTTCAATTGAAATTAAAGGCGTAAAACTTTATCATTTCTCCACAAATGAATACATGGAATCACACATGAATATACTTTGTTCTCGCGTTCTCAACCTTTTTTATGTTCTCATTTGATCCTACTCCTATACATACATATATATATATACATATATATATATATATATATATATATATATATATATATATATATATATATCAAGGTTGCGGAAATCGCTCCCGATAGATCAGTGGGCAACTGCGGTTAAGGGATTAATTGGTCTCGTCGTGGATTAATCGAGGATTAATTTTGGGAACCACTAATTATTAATAAAAATAGATATATGATATGTAAATAACCATACAAAAATTCATAATTAGTATTTAAACATTTAAGTCATGATACATCATATTACAAGTCCAAAATACTTTTAATAATAATAAAAACAGATTTTCATATATTTAAATGTCCATGTTCTTCTAATCTTCTTGTTCTTCCAATATTTGAACTCCATCTAACTCATATTCATCTTCTTCAAACACTCTCTCCTCATTCTCGGATTCAAAATCTTCATATAAAAGTTCACTCGGTGTTGAACTTTTATAGGGTACTGGATTATCATTAGTCCTGAGAGATTAATCAATCACTTCCATAACTAATTTGGGGTCAGCTTCATCTTCATCTCTAATCCGATCTTGAGCCGAGTGAGAATCATTTGCAAAAAGCACTTCCAAAGTTCTATCTTTTCTCTTTTTCTTTTTTGCATTAGATTAGCATTGAATTGAACATAAACAAGATTGTGTGTATTTAACTTTCTTTTGTATCTTCCCTTCGTTGATAAAATTTCACATTTTCAATTAATCATCTTTAGTAGAGTTTGGACACTGAGTTACATTTCCCAGCACATGACTAATATGTTGTTTCAATCTAGTAACCCCCCCCCCCCCCAAGTAAACAGTTTTCCACAAAGGTTACATTTCACGGTATCCATCTTGTTTTTATTTAGGCAAAAACCATATTCCCAACCAATATCATATGAGTTCCGTTTATGAGCACATATGACATTTGATCTCAACGATGGTGAAGTCGAATTTTTAGATGGCATGATTGAAATCTGTTATATACTCTAGAAATCAGAAAGTCACACATCATAAAATCATCATAAATCAGAAAAAATACATCAGAAATCAAAAATATCACAGTAGACATGCTCCATATTTCAGAAAAACTCTTGCAGAAATCAGAATAATACAACACACATGCACCAAAAATAAAAATAAAAAGAAAAATCATAAATCATAATAATGCATCAAAAATCACAAAAATTCTCATCGAAAAATCAAAATCAGAACTAAACCATTATAAATGGTTCTCCAAGGAACCAAATATTTTTTCAAATTTTAGAGCTTATTATTTATCGAAAAAAAAAACTAAAAATATCTACATTCATAACTTCACATTGTGAATGCAAATATATATTTCAGATTCACCGTGTGAATTCAGATTCATATTGTGAATCTGCTCAGATTCACACTTTCACACTCTGAATTTGACGGAAAAAAATTGTCGAATTTTATATCATTGGAAAAATGATAAAAAGTTATTAATTTTTGTATTTTTAGTTTTTTATATTGATAAAAAATAAGCTTTAAAAATTGAAAAAAAAAATTGGTTCATTTGGTATATTGTTAATAATGATTTTCTATTGAATCTCACCCTCTATATATATATATATATATATATATATATATATATATATATTATATATATATATATACACACTAGTTGTGAGACTCATGCATTAAATGGGTTAATTTAAAAAAAATAATAATAAACTAAATATAAATGTCAAAATATTTAAATACTTTGAATTTATAAAAAAGATTAAAAGAAATATTGAATTATTATAATAAAAATATTTTTTATCTTTTAAATTTAAATAAATAATTTAAATAATTAAAAGAAACTAATTAGCTTTAATTTTGAGAATTTTAATATTAAAAGGTAAATTCATTAATCAAATTGATATCCATTTATTATTATATTTATTGCAATTATTACATTAAAATATTATGTGAAATTTAATAAAAAAGAAAAACCTCATAAAATGACATGTGAAAAAAAAATAATTCAAAATAACCAAAAAATAACATTTGGCAAATTGAATGAAAGTGTAACAAATGACAAAAAAAACTTTGATTTATTAGAAATCATATATATATATATTATATATATATATATATATATATATATATATATATATATATATATATAGTTAGGTTCATGTAAGACGATTTAATTTTGTGAGACGCAATTCTAGCCATTCATTTTGTAGATAAAAAACATTTTTAAAATGCAAAATAATTGAAATTTTTTGGAAAAAAAAATTTCAAATATTATTTTCGTCATTTATATTTTCCAAAAAAAAATAAAATAAAATAAAATAAAAAATACCAAAAAAATAAAAAAAAAATACCGTTTTTTTTACATATTTTAATAGAATATTAAAATATTTTACATATCTGACAAATCCAATAGAATATTCTAAAATTCTAAAAATCATATTAGAATATTTACAGTGTAATATTTTATAAGAATATTTCACGTATTTTTCAAAAACAACGGTAAATTTTTTTTTTTTTTTTTAGGTTAAAAAAGGGACGAAAATAATAATTAAAAAAAAAAAATTTTCGGATTTTTCCTTTTATTTTTCATTTTAAGATTATTTTTAGATTACGTCTCACAAAATTAGGGTTTTTTGTTTTCCATAGAACTAACCATATATATATATATATATATATATATATATATATATATATATATATATATATATATATATAATACTTTCTCATCGCGTTAACAGAATTTGAAATATTGTATCAATCTAAATTAATGTTTGGCAAAAAAAAACAAAGTTAAGATTTAAAATTTACCAAAGAAATAAAATGTTAAAACAATTTCATTCCTCGATGAATAAAATATAAAGCATTTCAAATTATTTTTACTGGAAAAGGTATTAAAAAAATTATAACTTGGTTTATTCTGCAGACTATAAACGAGATTATATAAATAATCTCGGTGGTCAATTTGTGATATTAGTGACAATGAAATTTATTATGATGATAAACGGTCCTTGTAGTTTATTAAAGGTCTCAACTTTAGTACTGTTAATTGTTTTTCTGAAGTTTATAAAATTTGCATGGTTAACCTGACCTATATAAAAAGGATTTTTATGCCTTTTGATATTTCATTTATCATTTCTTTAAATAAAATTTTTAAAAAAAGAAAAGAAATATGAAAATCAACCCCTAACCATTTTAATCATTCCCCTCTCTCTCACTACCGTTTCGCCTCTTTCACATTGCTTTCCGATGAAGACGATGAAGACAATACCATGAAAAGATGATCGGAGATGCATCAGTTTAAATTCTCCGGCAAGGGAATAGACATCTATCTATTGCTAATGTTTTCGCCTGATGATCACGACTTTAAGATCTACGAAGAGTGGGCAGTTTTCCGACGAGACTTCTGTAATACTTTCCGTTGTACGTTGGCGTTTACACTCTGTGGTTACCGTGAGATTGATTTTCTAATTTTAAACAACTCAAATAGTGAACTCCAGCGCCGACAGTTCCTTGTTTTCCGGTTCCAGTTTATGATCTACGATGGCTTCAGATGGATGGAGCGAGTTATCGGGTTGTACGTTCAGAAGAAGGTCTAGAGAAGTAATGGATGACAGATGTTCTTCCTTTAAATGTAGCATGCATATTTTCCTAGTGAATCATCAGAGAATCTGTGAAATTTAACCATTGCCTTACAGATGTTCTTCCTTTACAAGTTAGACTGCTCATCTTGCTACCGATCAGTTGCTTAAGGTTTGTTTAAATTTATCCGGTGTGGATATCACAATTTTGTTGTTGTGTTTCTGGAATCATAAAGTGTTGAGCGAGGGTTTCACCATGCCTGAATGAGTATACCAGATAGATGAGGCTAGAAAGAAAAAGATACTCTGTGATGGAGTGGGGCTTCCATCGCCGATGGGAAGTTTGTCTGCTTCAAGTTACAGCTCACAAAATCCTCGATAAATTTTATTGGAATTTTAACCATAAGAAGAATAAGAAGAGATATTGAGGTCTATTGCTTCGATTTTAAAGTATTTGTATTCTGATTCAGAAGACGATGTTGATTGATTATGCCGATTACGGGGGAGAGAAAGATGGATGATGAGGAAGAAGAAGAGGTTGGGATGATAGCTGAGGGGTAGGGTTAAGTGGGGTCGGTCCTTATGATAATTTATTAATTTAGATCAATTTTGTAACAAAATGATAACATAGGGATCAACTATGCAAGTTTTAGAAACTATAAGATCTGTATTCATTAAAAAGAATTAACATAGAGTAAAATTGTGATCTTTATTAACCACAGAGACTATTTATGTAATTTGGCCTTAGATTTGTAATGATTTGTTTTTTTATTGGCAGAGAATATATGAAATCATAATAAAGTAGCCGGCCCACAAGAAATGTGGGTCCCATTCTTTCTCAAAAAGTTTGAAGTTTTTAACTTATTAGTGTGACAAAATTCAGCTCCATAAAACAACAAAAACCTCCACAACCAATTACTAGCCTCCAAGTCTGTGTATTTGTCTTGTATAATTATTATCCCACCTCCTTCCCCCATTAAAAGACCATTCATTATAGCCTCAGCTTCAAACTTTCGTCAACCATCTATTCCATGCACAATGATACATGCCACCATGGGGACTTCCTTACAGAATGATATGAGCAGCCTTATCACCGAAAGCTCTTGCTTGAAGCTCAATCCTACCTCTCCTCCTCTGGATGAAACCAAGAAAACTCCACCACCACCACTTCCTCCATCTGCCCTTAAGATGGAGGACATGGAAATCCAATCTCCTGACTTGTGGGAGTCATTCTTTTCCGAGCAACTGCAGGAGACAGACTTTATGATCTCCTCTCCTGTCCCTTGTTCGAATTTCAACTATTACCCTTCTCCTCTAGCACCATTTAATAACAATACAAAACCGAAAGGAATGAGTCCCCTCCAACGGGTGTTTAGCAACTCCCCCAATAATCATGAGTTCATGCAAGTCGAGACAATTTCTTTACCGGCTCTCGAGAATTTCTTGGACGATCTCGAGGGAGACGATGATTACCTATCCTACTCCACCTCTGGTGTTGGTGTTGGTGTTGGTGTTGGTGTTGTCGATGATCAGTCATACACCATCCCAGCATTATTGGACTGCTTAACGACGTTGCCCAGCCCTTCTAGGTTTTTTGGTGAGGCCACCACATCCAACACAAACAACAACGATCAGATCATGTATCATCAACCGCGGCCTGCAATTTCAAACGCACCGTTGCTGGAACAACTCGAGCAAGAGCGGCGAGAGGAGAAACAACACCGCCAACAACATAGACAGCAGTTGTCGTCGTCGCCACTACAACCTCAACCAATCAACCATAACCACCTCATGGTGCCTCCTCCAGTTGGCGCTGAGGTATATTAGTATATTTATTCACCCGATCCAGAAAAAGAAATTTAATTATGGTTTTCCTTAACATTATTTAAACAAACAAAAACAAATTGTATGACAGGAGCATGACAGTGGACTTCAACTTGTTCATCTTCTTCTAGCATGTGCAGAAGCAGTGGCCAAAGAGGATTTCATGTCAGCGAGAAGGTACCTTCATCACCTCAACCGTGTCGTCTCCCCGCTCGGTGATTCCATGCAACGTGTTGCCTCTTGCTTCACAGAGGCCCTTACGGCGCGTCTTGCTGCCACGCTGACCACAAAACCAGCCTCCTCCACCCCAAAACCACCATTCACTCCTTTTCCTCCCAATGCACTAGAGATCCTCAAGTTCTATCAAATCGTCTACCAAGCTTGTCCTTACATTAAGTTTGCCCACTTCACTGCTAACCAAGCCATATTTGAGGCATTTGAGGCGGAAGAACGTGTCCATGTCATCGACCTTGATATCCTCCAAGGTTACCAGTGGCCTGCTTTCATGCAAGCACTTGCAGCGAGGCCCGGAGGACCACCGTTTCTACGGATCACTGGTATTGGCTCGTCTCCAGAATCTGTAAGGGAAACCGGAAGGTGTTTGTCAGAACTTGCCCACTCTCTCCATGTACCATTTGAGTTCCACCCGGTTGGAGAACAATTGGAAGACCTAGAACCACACATGTTTAACCGAAGGGTTGGAGAAGCCCTGGCAGTCAACTCAGTAAACCGGCTTCAGCGGGTCCCAGGTCATTGCCTAGGAAATTTATTAGCAATGATCCGAGACCAAGCCCCAAATATTGTGACAATCGTGGAGCAAGAAGCAAGCCATAACGGGCCTTACTTCTTGGGTCGATTCTTAGAAGCACTACACTACTACTCGGCGATCTTCGACTCACTTGATGCAACTTTTCCGGCAGACTCCCCCCAGAGGGCAAAGGTAGAGCAATATATATTTGCCCCGGAGATAAGGAACATAGTTGCATGCGAAGGGGCGGAGAGAGTGATGAGACATGAGAGGTTAGAGAAATGGAGGAAGATCATGGAGGGAAAAGGGTTTCAAGGGGTTCCTCTGAGTGAAAACGCAGTCACACAGTCAAAAATTTTACTTAGTTTATACTCGTGTGATGGTTACAGATTGACAGAAGATAAAGGTTGTTTGCTCTTAGGATGGCAAGATAGATCAATTCTTGCTGCTTCTGCTTGGAGATGCTGATACCTAAATTCATTATCTTTTTCTCTCTTTTTTTTTTAATTATTACCATTATGTTTGTGCTTAATATTTTATTTTGTTTCCTTTTGACTTTTAGTCTTGTCCTTCTTCTGAATTGAAGAAATGGAAACAGTGTGTAACTTTTATATTCTATATATCAAACAAATAAAATTAAAATATATAAAGATATATTTGGTTATCCAAATACATTAAATATAATCCCTCTTTAGTTCAAACGAGCGGTTTAGGATATCTTCAACCATACACTAAAAACCAACTTTTTACACTATAAATTAACCCTACACTAAAAACCAACTTTTTACACTATAAATTAACTATAATGTTCCAACCGTACATTATACCTAACACTATATATAGTCTTGGATTTTAGTATAACATTATATATAGTGTTGAATTTTAGTGTACCACTATATATAGTGTTGAATAAAGAACAATATACATATAATATTCTTTTTAGTATTAAATATAGTCTAATGGGTTGGAGGACTTTAGTGTTTATACTATCTTTTACACTATAATTATAGATATGGTCTAAAAAAATAGTGTTAAGAGTCGGAGATGGTCTTACACTCTTACTCCTACTCATGTCTGCGGGAAAAAATTGTAAGCTTGCCTAAATTAACTGCCAAATGGTATTTTAGTAATTTACTTCTTTCAGTTAGTTAGGTCATTACATGTTAAAAAGCTAATTAGAGTTTGAGTTATTTCTTTTGTTAAATCGTATATATAGTTTATTTCATATGTACTTATTTTTTTAAGTAATCGAGTGGAAATTACTATTTTCCAAAGCTATAATCACAACATGGTATCAGAGGGAAACAAAATCGATTGATTATTCATTCATGATTTTTTTCGTTCTTTCTTTGTTCATCTTCATCACAATTCAGATTCAAATAAATCCATATTCTTTAACGTTTCTATAACGCCCCGTTCCTGGTACGTATTTAATTCATTAAATGCTCATTTTATATGAGCTACTCGACGAGTTGGTAGCCCTAACTCGTCGAGTAGATGCTAGTTTAATCGCGGGGTTTAAGTGGACTACTCGACGAGTCGGTAATAGACTCGGCGAGTAGGTCCATCAGGAGGAAACCCTAATCCTTAGGGTTTGCACCCTATTTAAGCAACATTATGGGTCTTCACCCCAACCCCCATCACCTTCACAGTCCATTCTCGAAACCCTACTTAGTTTTGGTGAAATATTGAGCTAGTTCTTGCCATTTTGTGATCTTAAGCTTGAAGAAGGAAGAAAAAGCTTGGAGTTGCAGAAGGAAGGTTGGAGATCCAGAGCTTAGGACTCATTTTTGTCTTCATAAAGGTATAAAACTTATACCTTGGCTATTATTCAATTAGATCTCTCTTCTAGCTTGAATATTGTAAGTTTTGGGGCCATTTCCAAGGCTATTCTGAGATTTGTACTCTTGGGGATGTAGAGACTTCAGATCTGGGCTCTATTGAGTTCTAGAGGCTCAAAGTTGCCACCTTTATGCAACCATAGTCCATGTAATGACTTAGATCTCTATTTCTAGCTTGTAATGAGTGTTTTGGTCTTATATCTTCATGTATACGCGTAAAGTTAGCAACTTTACGTGTTAAGTTAGCCTTAGGAGCCCAGATCTATGAGTTAGAAGCATTGGAATCATTTAGAATCGACTATATGGTTTTAGCATGCAAGGAACTCGCCAAGTTGTTCTTATGACTCGGCGAGCCGGGTCGAGTTTCCCAAACCTTTTCTGGTTGTGAGTGAAACCATGGAGTGGGGGAGGGTGACTCAGTGAGTTGGACAAGATTAGGACTTGGAAGCTAAAGGACTCGATGAGTCCAAGGAGGGACTCGGCGAGTAGAGTCGAGATGTCCCGATTATTATTACTGTTACAGAAGAACTCGACAAGTCAGAAGACGGACTCGACGAGTGACTCGGGGGGACCACGAGTTGGGTTGACCGGGGTTGACTTTGACTTGACTTTGACCAGGACATTGACTTTGACCAAGGGTAAAATGGTAATTTTACCCTAAGAAGGATTATCAGTTTATGATTAAGTGTTGTTATGGAATTTATAGCCGGAGAGTCGTCGGAGCAGCAGATAGAGATCCCTCACCCAGCTTTTCAGCAGTCAGTCTTACGAGGTGAGTTTCCTTCCAGTAGGAACGGGTCTACGGCCACAATACCGACCCGTTTAGATGATAGTAGTTCCGGACTTCGGTCCGATGTCGGGGTGGTCCCGAGAAGTAGTTATATATGCTTGATGTCTTCTTGATTCATGCATGTTTATGATATGTGTATATGTTCCGGACTCCGGTCCGATGCCGGGCAAGCCCGATGCAATAAATGTGATTATGTTATATGTTCATGCTTATGTTATGTTCAGTTTATTCCGGACTTCGGTCCGATGCCGGGCAGGGCCCGATGCAGTGGGTGGGGCCCAAGTTATTCCGGACTTCGGTCCGATGCCAGGCGGGGCCCGATGTAATGGGTGGGGCCCAATTTTATGTCGGACTTCGGTCCGATGCCGGGCGGGGTCCGATGCAGTGGGCAACGCCCAGTATGTGTTATATGTGTTATTGTATGGTATGTGGTAGTTTGGGGGAGCTCACTAAGCTTCGTGCTTACAGTTTTCAGTTTTGGTTTCAGGTACTTCCACTAGCAAAAGGAAGGGCTCGAGATGACCGCATGGCTCACACCACAGTCTTCAGCCTGAGAGTTTTACTCTGATATTTTGATATGACATTTGACATGAGATTTGATATGTGATAGATATTATGAGATTTTGAAATACATAGTTTATGATTTCATACTTTGGTAATGAAATGATGGTTTTAATAATGCTTTAAAAACGAAATTTTTTGGTTGTATTTTTGGAATGTTTCAAGTTGGTATCAGAGCCTTTGTTTGAGGGATTCGGGCACACTTTCGGGTGTGTCTGAACTCAAACTAAGGAATTGGTATAGAAATTTTCAAAAGAAAATCATTTTTACAAAAAAGGATTTTGAAAATAGAAAAGAACTTTGAAAAGAGAAAAAGGGTGTGGTGCATGCAATCAGCCGAGCTCAAGTAAGTACTCCCAAATTACCCATACAAGTTTATGTTATGTTATCAGCTTTATTAGAACAGCATGCTAGATTAGGACTAAGGATCTAGGAAGGATGCCTTATGTGCCTGTTATATGTGTTCATTTTTATGAGAACTGCATGCTAGTACAGATTAGTCAATGTGATAGCTAGAGTAGTAGATGCTTGATTATGTACTTGATGCTCGAATGTTGCTTGCTTTGTTCTTTTAGGAGTCTTAGTTATCTTTTACTAACTAGAAAACGAATATGTTACGTTACGTATTGCAAGGACTAAATAATTTCAAAAAGGTTAGGTCTAGCCCTATTTCGCAGCTCTTGTCTGAGTCCAACCGTTGTAGGGTAGGATCTCTCATTCGAAGAATTATCTGGTCTGAGTAATATGTAATAGTATTCATGAGCTAGTTAAGGGAAGAAAGCAGGGACTTCTTATGCAGCTGATGGCGGAGAGTGAGTTGGTGATTACCCTAGGGCAAGCCTAGGATGAGAGTATCAGAGAACAGTAGTTGTAGAAGGGACTTGTTGGAGTCAAGGCAGTTCTTGAGGAAAGTACAGATAGATGTGGAAGGTAGTATGGGCCCGTACTACTGAAAGTAGAGGATCCGTACTCAAGTCAAGTAAGGCTGAGACAAGACCAGGGAACTTGTAGTATGTGTGATCCCTCCAGTTATATTAGTATTCTGACGTTTGTTATGATGTGTTTTTAGAATGGTGGTTTTACGCCCTAGACCAGCAGTTGGTAGTTCAGGTGCAGGAGAGGGATCAGGCTCAGGCTCTGGAGCCAGGAAGTTAGACGAGCAGACCAGGGAGTTCATCTCCTCGGAGGTCACACGCAGCATATTAGACCATACTCCTATGATTTTTGGATCGGTCAAGGAGGGTATCTTAGAGCTTCTGGATGAGAACTTGGGTGCGTTTCGTACTAAGATAACAACCATGATGGGATCGCGCACATTGAATTTCATGGAGTTCAGAGCTTATGGAGCTCCCGACTACCATGGGGCTCGGGACCCCATTCCGAGTACTAGATGGTTGGCGGATGTCGCCAACGCGATCCGTACCAGCAGATGTCCCGAGGGGGACAAGGTCAGATTAGCATCCTGTCTTCTGAAGGACAGGGCACGATATTGGTGGGAGGAGGTCGGGAGAGCCATTGGAGATGACACTATGTTGGATGCTATGACCTGGAGTGATTTCACCACCAGGTTCAGAGCCGAGTTCGCACCTGTTATTGAGGTGAAGCAGCTTGCTAGGGAGTTTCAGGACCTCCAGCAGACGACAGAGACTGTGGCAGAGATTACCGCCAAGTTTAGGGAGAGGGCTCTCCTCGTTCCACAGTATGTGGCGGACAAGGAGATGAAGAAGGCCCGATATCATGAGATGTTTCGGAGTGATATCCGCCAGTTTGTGAGCCGCTCAAGCTGCAAGACGCTGGAGGACATGATCGCGAGGGCTCGTGAGAGCGAGATTGATCTGGAGATGGAGAGGAAGAGGAAGCCAAAGGTGGCGTCTGGCGCAACAGGTTCGGGCAAAAAGCCCAAGGTGTCTGATCACATGTCTAGGGGACAGCAGAGCCACAGTCGGTGTGGCAAGTGTGGCAGGTTGCACGATGGGGTGTGCAAGGCGGGGAGTTCCGGTTGCTTCAAGTGCTGTCGGACTGGGCATATGAGTAGGGATTGTACAGCTACTACCACTCCCACCACAACATCTGATCGAATTTGCTTCCATTGTAATCAGAGGGGAGATAAGAAGTCTCAGTGTCCGAGTTTAGCACCTGCAGGACAGGTGGTAGTACCCGCTCCTACCACACTGAGGTTTACAGACGGTCGACAGGGTCGTGCTGAGGTGCCGGTGGCGAAGATCAGAGCCTTCCAGTTGACAGCAGAGGAGGCACGGGCGACTCCTGATGTGGTT